TAGGTTTCACCTGGCGACTGAACAACTGTCCATCCACGCTTCACAAGCTGGGTTGTGCTCACAATGTTGTGGCTGGTGGAGCCTACGCAGCACTTCAAACGAAAGTTCTGAGACCTCTTGGAACCAGATCCCGTCTCAAACGCAACTGTCACCTGAACTTCACCTCTCATGGTGACTGCAGACCCATTGGCTGCATAGTAGGTGTCCATCACCTGCTCTTCTGCGCTGCACTTGTAGTAGGCCTTGAACTGCTCAGACAACACTGAGACAGCTGCTCCACTGTCAATCAACCACCATCGCCACTCATCATCCGAATGTTCAACTGAAGAAATCAATGGCATCAGCACCTCACCTTGTGCTGGAGCAGCTTCCTGCCCATTCTCCTCTGCCAACTCGTGCATCTTTCCCTTACCTTTGCTCTTTCCACCTTTCGGCTGGGGCTTCTTCTGCTGCTTTCCCTTGTCACCTTTGGGCTTGTCAGGGCATTGTGCCCCAATGTGACCAAATCTCGAGCAATGAAAACATTTCACCTTGCTCAAATCGGCCTTGCATTGCTTGGCCATGTGGCCTCGCCTAGCAGACAGATGACACTTCATCATGCTCTTGGGACTTCCCTTTCCTTTGGCAACAGTAGCACTGATCCAAACCTGTGCATCTTCGTCCCATTCCCATTGATCATCAGGATCTTCTTCCTCGGCATACTCAGAGTTGTCATAACCTTCCTGATCGTATCCCCACCACTCTTCAGCGGTCTCAGCACTTTCAAGTGCATGCACACCTCGTGCACCTGATGAAGATGGGCCACTCAACTCAGCAAACATGCGCTGCTGCGTCTCGAAACGCAACGCAGCAGTGCGAAGGTCGGTATAAGCATCACCTGCTGCATGTAAAGTGGTGTATGAACGAACATCGTGTGGCAGCGAACGTAAAAGCATGATGGTTAGATCACTTGTTTGCACCTCAAGTCCAACTCTGGACACAGTTGCAGGTAGAGTTTCAATCATCTTGCGAAACCTTGACAGTCCGACGTCGATCTGGCGGATGATGTCGCTCACCTGAGTGACACCAGCAGACGCCTTAAACGTCTTCGCCAAAAACTCAGCCCGAAAGAAAGACGCTTCTGCCCTTGAACGCAAAGAAAACTCTCTTGCCAACAAACGCAAACCTTCAAAACCACTCGTACCTCTGGTTGCCAAGAACGCTCCATCAACACCAACTCCTTCAACATAAGCTTGCAGCATGGTGTTCCCCCTTGGGAAATCCTTGAACGTCTGAATGAGGATTGCAAGAAGACGCGCACTTCGAGTCTGTTGAGCGGGCTTCAGCACAGACATATGAATCTCTTGTTCCCAACCAATGCACTGGGCAATCTCCCAGGCAAAGATGTCACTTCCTAAGGAAACCCAAGCACGTAAAGCCTGAACCCAGTCCGAAAATCCAAGGACTTCATCTGCACGGGTTCTCCAGTTCCTGAAATCCACAGTGGGCATAGGAGGTAACCATTTTTCAGATTTACTGAAGATGTCACGACCATCTCTCTCGTCATCTTGATTCGGATTTCTCTCCCCTCTCTGGGGTGTCACTTGTGCTATACCTGGCGGCGACCCCACAGGTCGGAACGCAGGTCCTGGACTCGTGGGTGGCTGTTCACCAAACCGTGAAGGTCCAGTGCTTAAACCTGAAGACAAGGATGCATCAGCCGGTCTCGCACCGTGCAAGGCTGCAGTTCCCTCTGGAACGCGAGTCACCTGAGCTTGCAAACCATCAAGTCTCGTACTTATTTCCCTTACGACAGGCTCAATTCCCATGCGGAAGATCTGTGCGATCTGGGTCAACTGATCTGGCGTGAACAAAGGACCTTGCGGACCTGGACTTCCTGGCATACTAGGCTGCTCTTGGTGCGTCGGTGACGCAGGTTGCGGACTCCTCGGTCCACTTCTCCAACAGGGTACGGTCCAGTCGGTCCACCTGCCTGAAAACCCTTACCATATCCTTTCTCTCCGCTCTGGGTACCTTGGCCGTCCATGCGAAAATGCTGTGGTTGTCCTGATTGAAACATTTTTGACACCTCAGAGTCACCAGGCACACACAAGACGCACACAGGGGTGCCAGATCCTTACAGGATCTCTTGTGGAGGGAGCACACAAGCTCCGCTACCACGTAAAACTTTGACACACAAAGTTAGATCGCGAAAACCGCTTTCAAACCTCTCGCCAAAACACAAACAAACGGCGATCGTTTCGCGTTTCTGCAGTATCGACTCTCCCAGGCCGTCTCACGGCGACACACTCACAGACTTTTCGCTCTCGCAGGCTTGAGCCAACGTTCACGTTGGTAAACACAGTTCAGAACACAGAAAGCAAACTGGATTCCGGTCCAGTCAAGGAGATTCCAAAATCTCTACAAACTTAATTGTGCAAAAACGATTCTACCAATCTAGAAACGTGCAAAACAGGTTTCTCGGTTCCTAAAAACCTAAGATTGATTTCGTGCTGTTTGGTTCTCGTGTGGAATGCCCTACAACGTGCAGAAAATCAAAAACGGCTAACTACAAACGAAAAATGGCAACTCCGTCACAACTCTTTGTGGCGGAATGAGATGAGATCGATTCTGGTTTGCTGTTTTCTCTTGACGAAACGCAAATCTGGCTGGGGGATTTGCGGGTCGTCGTGGTTGTTGGCCCTGGTTTGTCTTTTGGTTGAATTGGATTTGCCTGCTTTTATGGACCAACTGTGTCCTTCTACAAATGTTTTCTGACAACTTATTCTCATAAGAACCGAGCCTCTGAGCGACATCGGCCAAACGGGAGGAAAAAAAGGCTGCCTTTTGCCTTGCCAAGGCAACTCTCGCAGCTGGAGGTCCCAGCCATTTCCATGAACCAAACGGAAACACTCCGGTCCCGGTTCATTAATCAAAACAATCTTGCTTCACCGGTCTATAACCATAAAATTGTGTGAAAATCCAGAGACCCAAGTTACCTACGCGACGCAACGCGAAAACCCTGGGGTCGGCAGCAAGGGCGAAAACACCCACTAACAAACTCAAAAAAAACCTTCCACTCAAACACACAGTCCGTCACTCACGTTCCGACTTTTGCTCCAGCGAACCGAAGGAAACAACAAGCTGTCTGTGCTGTTCCCTATGGTGCTTCTGTTGTGGCCCTACTTTGAACCAAGCTTGGCTCCTGTTGAGCCCTGTTCCCTTTGAGACGAAAAATGCGTTCACACGCACACATCTCTGAGTGGATGTTCTCTGACATCCAAGTCAAAACGTTCGCCACAGCTTCTGCTAACTAAAAACTGCTATTTCGACAAAAACACATCGAAAACTCGTTTGTACAGGTTGTTTGTTTTCGATTTGTTCAAAAAAAAACTCATTGGTTTAAAACTTGTTTCCATGCATGCAAAACCAATGTCTCATCGCTGAAATGTCCAAACTCGCATCACTTGTCCTTCCAGCACACAAAACGGTGATAAAACATCACCCAAACTCATCTGAATCTTCACAACCTCCATTGTAAAGTTCTCGAAACTCAGAGGCGATGACGCATGTCATCAAACTCCTTTCCAGCCAAAACCACAAAGTCCAAACTCCTATACAAGTATTCTTCCAGCTTGGATCTCCATGAAAACGTGGCAAAACATTGAAGTCACCAAACCATTGGTGATGAAATGTTTTCGTTTGCTCCGCTCTGATGAGCGAATCTCGTCAAACTTCCCAAAAGCGCCTGTAACAGGCAAACCTGGTCATCACCAAATCATTGATGACGAAATTTCCCATTTGCTTCATCTTGATGAGCAAATGCTTTCAAAATGCCTATTGCAGGCAAAACCGTTGTAACTTCTCACCATAGACACCATTGATGGTGAAAATCACTGTAACCACAACTGTGCAGAACTCAGCGGCATAAGGCGATACCATATTTCCACACCCCCACTTGCCGTGAGTTCGAAACCAGGTGAAATAGATCAGCGACATCGTGGTGATCTTCCATTCCAGTCTCAAACAAATTCATCTGAATTCCAGGAACCATAGATCGTAACGATCTTGTAGCTGCCACGGATCAAACTGATCCTCCATGCTCTTTGCCCGCCTTATTGTAAGGCTATTGTACTTGCTCCCAACCAGCTGTCATTCCATTGAAAGCCAATCCAGAGCTCATAGTGTATAGATCCCCATAGATCGCTCACTTGAAGCGGCGTTCCACTTCCGTTCCAGGAATCAAAAGTCCCGAGTCTTTGTTGGACTTCTTTTCATAGGCATCCCGATACTTGACAAAGTCCAGGGCGACCTTGCCAGCAGTATGGGTTGTCAGGTGGCTCTTGCACCACTTCCGATATCCTGCATACTGTGGGTCCGTCAGCACCTCATTGTAGGTGACATTGGCTTCGGCGTACTTGCCAAAGGAAATCACCGTGCGACCCCATTGTTCCAGGCTGTTGATGCCTGGCGGCATGTCCAGCTCCACGCTGGTATAGTCCACCCTGAGGTGGCTCTTCTCAGTGACTTCAATCCATGGGTTGTCCATGGATCCCACTGACTCTTCATCCACATAGCGGCGCTTCGAACCATCATTCATCGCGCCCCCTTTGGCACCATTCTGAACAACCACCTTCTTGGCCATCAAGGCCTGCAGTTGCTTCTCATCTTCGATGCTCCATGACTCGGCCATGGCTTCAGCACTTAGGACGAGGGTAAAAAGTCTCTGCTGTTGTTGCTAGGAGCGCAAGTCAGACCCTAAGTAACAGACTTCAGCGTCCAAGCTTCCGGCAAAAAAAACAATCCGCCACATGTCAAATGCTTCGCATGAGAGTGGACATGACTGCAACTGTGAAACTGTCTTTTGTTTGACTGTGCTCTGTGCTTTGCTAGAGCTCCATATAAGGTCGCGGCCATACACTAAGGTCATGACGAACAAAAAATGTGAAACTCTTGGTTCTTTTCAATTCCAAACATCTGCAAACATCCACAAACTGACATGGTTTCCACAAAAAAAACGTTTATCGTTTGATTTTCCCCGATTCTTTGAACCCTTCTTTCATGGCATTCAAAATTCCCCTGGCTAAAACTGGACTGTATAAAGCTGTTTTCCCAAAATGGACTTCGTTCAACGCTGCATGTTCCGGACAGTCGCACTGACCAAATCTCCTTTCTAAGCTCGTCACAAAAGCTCCGGACGTTGAAACGAAACGTAGCTGCTTGCCAATTGGTAGACAGCTCTTTCCGATCAAACCAGTTTTGCACAGTCGTACTGTTCCTGAGAAAATCAAACCACTCCTTTCAAGAGTCTTGTGAGTAAGTTCACGGTCCCAAATCTGGTTGTGCTTCGGCAGTTCGAATGACGCTTGGTCACCCAGGCTAAGGTAAAACGAAGCGGACGACATGACTATCTTCCATGTCTCAGTCTCACCAACTCCTGCATGGAAATTCCGAAGAGGGGACCCAGTTGCACATGGTGTGGAAACATGTACATGAACCAACAAACCTTCCGTTTTCTGTTGTTCTACAAAATCCCGAACTCTTCGTTGAACCCCAAGCATCTCCATGTTTGATGAAACTCCCAAATACCTAAAACCCGAGGTGGAACATGCCCTTTTCAAAGCTGAATCCTTGTCGCAACAGACTTCAAGGAATGCATAGTATGCAGTTCTTTTGGGCATGGCCTCAACAAACAACTCTGCCAAATCTTGCACAGGAAAACCAACTCTGTCAATTCCAAGGGTACTGCGGTGTCGATAAAAGTCCTTTGAAGGCAAACATTTTGTGAAAAGGTCTGCAACATTCTCAACCCCTTGTTTATGAATCAGAGTAATTTCTTCACTCTTCAGTTTGTCTCTCAACCATTCCAACCGAATTTCTATGTGTCTGGACCGTTTTGGTAAATCTATTCCCTGAACCAACTGGATTGCTGAGCTGCTGTCGCTTTCCATGACAATTGGAACAATCTCACCTTCGTGTTGCCATCCCAAACCAGATACAACCCTTTGAATGAGTCTGGACAGTGCTACACTCTCTTGGCTGACTAACTGTAACGCGTACAATTCTGACTCACAGCTGCTAAGGGCCGTACTTTGCTGTTGTCTGGCTAAGGTCCGAACAACACCGTTCTGAAATGTCACAACCCCGCCTGTGACACCCCGCCTTGAGTTGAACCTCCAAGGTCCATGCGATGCGTCACTGAAGCTGTGCACCATCAAGCTGCTAGGTGAGTAACCTTCGGCAGTCAAAGCATCCGAACTCTCTGATGGAAGCCGCAACGTAACATTCATGTCGTTTTTCAAGAATCTCAAAAGACCTCGAAGTGCTGCTTCCGTTCCCTCATGGTGACTGCTGTTGGGTTCCTAACAGTGACATGTAAAGCTTGAGATCATGACGTGACTGGCACATCCACATGATTTTTCCTACAGCTCTGCGAAAACGTTGGTATCCTTCAGTTGAAAGGGGCTTCATTGCCTCTTTGTCTAAAACTGTTTTCTCCAAGTGTTCAGCAATGTTGGGTGCTGCATCTGAACCCTTTGAAATACCAAACTCCTTGAAAGTTGAATCCAAATAAGACGGATTTACCAAAATGTGAATAGCTGACTCTTCCGGGTTTCTGAACAGTGTCCTACCAATGAAACTGAGTTGACCACCTCCCAGGTGTGAAGGTAAGATTCTGCCTGTCGTTTTCGTTGGAACAACCTTTGAAATTGCATCGCAAATGACAGATTCCGTTCTTTCACAAGACGTTGCCAACAGAATGTCATCTACGTACACTAACAACATGGCAATTCCCAGTTCATTCGCCTTTGAGTCCAAAACTTTTCCTTGGTAAAAACATGGCTCCAAAGTGTCACTCCATAACCCTTGTCCTTGAATTGTTCCTGCAAGAAGGCGAAGCCAAGCTAAGGAGGCGTCTCTCAGCCCATTCAGGGCTCTCTTCAACTTCAAAAAGGCAACTGAGCCGTCACACAGACTCACTGAAAGCGGCAATCGTAGCAGAACGATCTGATCCTCGAGAGGACTGTGCATAAAGGCATGAGAGATGTCCAACGATCTCAAGAAAAGATTCAGCGTGGCACATAGAATCAACATCAGGTGCAAAGACTCACAAGATGGTGTAGGGCTTGAATACCCCATCTTTCTAGCACTGGTTCCACGAGCTAGGTCTTTGGCGACAATGCGACATCTGACTCTGATTGCTGATTTAAACGCACAAACCCAACGAGCTCCAATGACTCTGGCCGACTTGTTGACCTTCTGAACCGCCTTAGCTTCTGCTTCACTCAGCAGATCTCCAGTCTGACAGGCTTCCAAGTTGTTCACTTCTTCCTGCATGCCTTCAAAACCCAAATTGGTATCCAAGGACTCCAACGTTTGATCGTCGATGATGGTGTCTGGTTTCCAAACTCTCACCTTACCACCACCAAGTCTCACAGTAACACTTTCATGCCTAGTGTCAGGTCGAAACTGAATTGCAGAAACTGTTTCTCACTGGAAAATAGTTCGGGTGAAGTAATCCGTTGAAACCCATTTTCATCTGTTTCTCCTAGATGTTGCAAAGGCTGACATGACATCGAACAACACCATTCTGGTTCCTGATGAACAAACAAACTATCCATCATCGGATCTTCCCGAATTTGCTTTTCCAAATCTGAAACATCAACATCTGCAGTGCGTTTCCGATCATCCCCAACACTTGACGAATCCATGTCGCCCACCGGAGTGGGGCTTTCAAGTCCGACTTCAGGCATGTTTGTATCACCATCTACATCAACCCTAGTGTCCAATTCCTGTCCTTGAGTTGGAGTACCACCATCAACAGGTGCATCTACAAATCTCTCTCGTGTGGACGGCGAATGCACTTCCGTTGAGGCATCAGGTGAAGGGACTGGTTCTGGGCTATTCTGCGCTTCAAAAGCCTTCCGACGACGTTTGCACTCAGCGTTGTGACGGCTGCCAGGTGCATCCATCCCACTTTCACAAGCAGGACAACGTCTTGTTTTCTGAAAAACCCTGGAACTCTCAGCAAATGAAACACGCTGACCCTTTTGTGAATCTGGTGACTCAACTTGCTTCCCTGTACCCCCACTTAAACTGGATTTCGGTGCAACTCCTACAGGACCTGATGAAACCTGTTGCCTTGAAGATGATCCCATTGGTTCTCTTTCTAAAACCTGTTCGTCCCCATCTTCAGGTGGTTTTATTTCATCCTGAGGTCCAGACTCAGCTGCTACAATCCGTTTTCGTTCGGGGGATTCTCCAGTCTGATACAAAAACTCACTGCACAACTCCAAATCCCATTTCAAAGGTTCTACAACTCGTACATTCCTAGCTGTAAACCGAACCAAGGTGAGAACTCCATCCAAACGTACCTTCCCTTGCACAACTGGTCCATGAGAGGTCCCACAATGTAAAAAGGCTGCTTCAATCAGTCTCGTTTCGTTTGGAACTCTCTGTTTCACTGAATCTGGTAACTCAGCCATGACAGTTGTACAAAACAACGAAGATGTTGGTTTGGACAGTCTCCTACCACATGCATTCTCAAGAGGACTAAGGTCGGTACCTGGTGTCTTACTGAAATGGTTATGGCACAGCGACAGGTATGTGAGGGCGGTCTGAACCGGCTCATGTGCAAACTTAATGTCAACTCCACACTTCGACATGTCTGCTCTCAGGATTGAAAGACTCTCTTTCAACCTTCTGACACATCTCTCAGCACCTCCTGTCGACTGGTGTTGCTGCGGATTGGAGCGGCGGACCGCGAAAGAAAACTGAGATCCTGATTTTGTGAAGAGTTCTCCAACAGCTTTCTCTGCATCCGTGCGTATCAAAACTGACGTGCTTGTTGATGAAATTCCACATTGCTGCAAGTACTGGTTGATCTGAGAGTAAATTGCATTCTTGTCTTCCCCAATGACGATGTAGCCCACATTGTTTGTGGCCAATTCCACAACAACCAAAATCTTAAGGTTCTCCTGGTTCTCCATGTGGTCCAGAACTTCCCCTTCCTTTTTGAGCCAACAGAAATCCGCCTGAAACTCAGTCGACAAACCTTTGGCTGTTCTTCGGCGGTGCTGAAAAGTTGAGTGCCCTCTTGCGCACTCACTGCAGGCTGGGTGATGGGGAGTATGACCCTGTCGTCTATGTGTGGCTAGATCGACTTGTTCTGATTTTGAAACAGGACACAAACATGATTCCGATTGTTGTGAACCCTCAGCTAAACCAGAAAGAGCAAACTTGTGGTTCATCCAATCTTCGTCCAAACTTTTCCATGGATGCAAACGTACCCAGGGACAACCACAAAAGTATGAAACTTCCATCATGGTTGCACCGTCTTTGTGTTTCAACGAAAAACTGTCTGGTGTTTGCGAAAAATACCATCCGGACTGACACAAAAGGGCGGTTGACAGTATGTTGTGCTGAATCCTACCAACCAAAACATGCATCTTGGCCTTTTTCCAAACTGGCGGCAACCCTTGTTTTCCTTTCTCAGACACAAGCATGGACACCTGCAGACTGGCAATCCCACGCATACCAACGTCCCCACCATTGGCAGTTTTGAAATTAGGCATTCCCACATCCAACGGCTTATCAATCCCAAACGCTCGCATGCACGACTCAGCCAGGACAGTCGCACTGGCACCACTATCCAGCAACCACCAAGAGGCATCCTCATAGGTCATATGGGACAAAAGTGGAGCGACAAGCGGTGACCAAACTGACAAACGTTGAGACAGGGAGCACGTATCATTTGCAGGAAGGTCCAAGAAGGTGGAAACTGCAGGCTTAAAAACCTGAACTCTGGCACACGCAGGAGAAACCAAAGAAACTGCGGCATCTTCAGCACCCGACAAATCCCCAACCAGTCCTGGACGGAATTTCCAAGACTCTTCAAGACCTGGAAACTTGTCACTGTCGTTCAAACCATTTTCAAAAACAGGTTGTTGTTCAAAAACATCACTGTTGTCGAATTTGTTAAAACCCTCAAACGAAATACCAGCACATGTTGAGCAAAACAAACCGTTTCCGAAAACATCTCTGGTACAAAAAACACATGTCTGACACTCGTTTGCGTTTGTTTCTGACATCACATGCAGCATCGGTGCAAAAATCAAACTTCCAACTGTCTGTTCGTTTCCGTTTCCAGTGGGCGCATTTTCCAAGTTCTGAGGTTCATCCTCTCTATACTGTGTCCAACTTCCCATTGATTGGTTCCAGTCATAGCTATCGTCCCAAACTTGAGCTACTCCGGATTCCTGCCATCCATCTGCACCCCACCAGTCACTTTCATTCCACCACCAGGACTCCTCAGGGTCCCACTCCTCTGACGTTTCATTGAGCTTACCCTTCTTTCCTTTGGTGGACTTGCCTTTTCCTTTTGACTTACCTTTCTTCCACTGATCTCCTTTGGAGACTCCTTTTCCTTTTCCTGTGTTCTCCTTTCCTTTGCCTTTTGGTGATCCTTTTGAAACTCCGGATCCACTTTTGTTGGGGCAGTTGACTCCTACATGGCCATACTGCGAACATCTGAAACACCGAACCTTGCTTAGATCTACGCTACAGTCTTTCGTTTCATGTTTCTTACTGCCACATTTGGTGCATTTTCCATTTTGAACTGCGTTCATTCCATGTTCCCATGTGTCATCCCCATTAGCCATGTCAAACCATTGAGTTTCTCCATCTTGTCCAACAAACTCAACCTGGTTCAAACCTTTCACATGACCAATGTCCAAAAATAATCTCTGTTGTTGTTCAAATCTCCGAGCAGCCTCCCGATAGGCCTGGTAACTCTCACCACTGGCATGATGTAGGGCGAAGGAGCGAGCTGAATCTGGAAGCGATCTTACCAGCATCATCAGCATATCGGCATCCGAAACCTGTAGTCCAACGGGATCCACACTCGAAGGCAAACTGCTCAGCAACCTCTGGTACTTGGCACACTCAAGCTCAATGCGGCGAATTGTATCGCTGACCATTGAGGACGGAGAGGTTTCATTGGAGGGCACAACAAAGGTCTTGGTTGCTAACGAAGTCCGAAATGCAAGCGCTTCTCCACGACTTCTCAAAGAGTATTCCCGTGCCAGCTGTCTTAGAAGTTCATACCCGTTACAGTCTTGCTCTCTGGAAACTTCCGGCAAACCTGAACTCACCTGAATACCTTCCATGTAGGCATGTATGAGGTTCGACGTTCTGGGGTGACCCTGAAAACTGCTTTTCAGAATGGCTAAAAGTCTCATCGACCTTGACCTCATTGCAATCGTCATCGAGGACCATGAAATCGAAACCGGCCACTTTCCTGCCTGAAGTATTTCTTGTCCAAATTCCAGACTTGCCTGTGAGGCCCAACTGGCCAAATCCGTATAGTATTGGGAAAATCCCAACACCTCTGATTCTCGGTTCACCCAAGTAGAGAACTGCGGTTGCGGTGGAACACCAAGCCACTTTTCCGTCCTAGAAAAGACGTCCTGAGACGCTGTCTGGTTTCCATCCATTCTCCCATCACTACGACTCAACCCTTCACACATGCCGCTCGGAAGCGGAAGACCGGCACCATGAAAGTCTGGCATGAATGGTTCTGACGGCACTCTGTTCACTTCACCAAACCTAGATGGCACAGCTTGTGCTCTTTGCCTCACCTGCTCTTGGCACCACTGAGTCAACGCTAAGATCTGGGCACTGTCTAAGTTCGATTTTTTTTTCCCCTCTGGTTTGGCCGATTCGCACTAGGCACGGTCCTTACAATTGCGTAAGCAGTGAAAAGCAGTAGTGTACAGGACCCGTGTGGTCCAAAAATATCCGGCAAATCATCACGAGAAACCAACCAAACAACAAGAACCACAACCAAAAAACGACCCGCAAATCCCCCAGCCAGATTTGCGTTTCGCCACAAAGCAAGACAGCGAAGCAACAAAGAAAGGGGCAGGGCCCAACAAGAACCAAAACAAAAAAATCTCAGATTTGCCTTGGATACAGCGACCTTAGCCACTGTATCATCCTCAAAAACATGCAAACTAATTAATTGCGGCGGTGCACGAAGTGTTGTACCTGATTGCCCAGACCGTCTTACCTGAGAACAGCAAAGGGAGTCCAATATTGTAGGCAGACTGATGTGTGGTTCGACAGAGGCCGCCTGTATGGACGATTTGTCAATAAGTCAAATTCCGCATCTCTGCTGTTCACTCTGTATTGTCCAGCGTATGCCAGGCAGTCTGTTCCTGTCAGTATACACCACCGCAAGGGACTGTAATCTATTTCCCCCCCAAAACGGGGAGGAGAGCACTGACAGCCTGCAACATGGTGAGCACTTGCAGAAACCGTCACGTGATTGTGCCCAAGACCCTAAGGCCGTGGGTGAAAAAGTGGCTAAAGGCCTGACCGGCTCAGTACGGCCATGACAGACAAATGATGTTTCGACTATAACATGGGCTCGTGAGCACTTCCAGTATGATA